TTCCTGTCGGGGACTGCAGGCTGTGAGAGCTCAACCTTGATGCCCATCAAAGCGGCCTCTCAAGGGGGAACAACCCCCTGAAACGTGTAGAATGTTGGGGTCTCTCATCTTGCAAGTCCCTCTAAGGAACCTTGCCCCATGTCATGGAGTGATAAACTGCAGGCAGTGCCTTTGTGTCCTTAAAACATTAAATTCCCTAAAACTTGAAAAGTATCGATTGATGAGTAAAATAAAAGGGAATCAAAAATGTCACTGACTGTCCTGATGCCTGTGACCCACAGGAATCCCAGCACCACCCATTCACCTGCTGCTGGTGGCAAGGACCAGACGTCACTTCCACAGGCACACGGAAACCAGAGCATTAACGAAAAAGGTGAAATCGGTGGGGTTAGTGGTTTTGGGTTTGGTTTTTTTGGTTTTTTGGGTTTGTTTTTTTTTTTTTAATAGAGCCATTTTTTCATATTTTCTTTACTTTTCAACTCTGCTCCACACCCCGGTAGCAGGTTTCTGCCAAGGCACAGCCCCTTGCTGGGTGGCTGTGCTGATGGGGTGCTGGGCTGGGGTAGAGGTTTGGAGCTGCTGTGGCATCTGGCATGAAAAAATGTCCCGGGAAGCTGTTACATTAAATGGCCAAATCGATTTATTGAATGGCAGGTGTTAGCTACAAACAGATGGAGAACATAAAGGCATAAGCAGGCATTTGTATGGAAAAGAAGCCATCGATTTGCAGCGAGAGACTCAATGGTGATCGTTACAGCCTTTAACAGAAATGCGCTTTTTTCCAGGGGCCGGGCGCGGGGCGGCCCGGGATGAGCGGGCAGCGGGGAGCGCGGCCCGGCCGGGCCCGNNNNGGCGGTGCCGCCCGCCCCCGCGGCGGCGCGGCGTGTCCGGGCCGCCCGTGGCAGCGCCCCGCGGCAGATGAGGCACGCGCCGGCCTCATTACAATGAGAATGGGCAGGCTGGAGGGGCCATGTGGCAGCAACAGTTTGCAAATCCCCCCTCCTTCTGTGCGAATCGGGAAACATTTCCAAACATTTGTACCCCAAATCGACCACATTAACACCCCTCCGAGCGGCGCTCCCTGGAGGGATGCTCCACGCTACGGGCTTTTAGGCAGAAACAAAACAAGCAAGGGGGATTTTTTTTTTTTCCTCTTCTTTTCTCTCTCCTTTATTTATTTTTTTTTTTTCTTAGAGGCTCTCGGGATGTGTCAGCTCTGAATCGATGCGCAACTTTCTAGCTAAGGGGTTTTAAAGCCACCGGGGAATCCGTCTCAAAAAGCGGGGTTGTGCACATGGAAGGGCTGGCGAGCCCTTAAAGAAATAAATGGGCGAGTCTCTGACTAAGAGATCAAACTCATTTCGTGATCAAAAAGGCGACCAGCGAGGCCAGCCCCGAAACAAACCTCAGAGCAAGGAAGCAGGAACTCTCCCGAGAAAAGCGCGCAAGGTGCACAGTAAAACACCGCACCGCGCTCGTACAGGCGCTAGGGATGCTGCACTGACCGACAAAATTGTTATGATAAATTTGAACAAGTGTAGGGCAGCCCGCGGGGCTCTGGAGTTGCGAGGGGTCTCTGGGCGCCCCGCAGCCCACGACCCGGGGGGTGAGGGGGTCGGCTCCCGGGAAAGGTGACTAAAGGGCTCCGAGGCGCGAGTGCGCTGCTCCGCGCCCCGCGATCCGCTCCCAAATGAGTGCGGAGAAGGGGAGGTGGGTGGGCAGCGGCTGGCGCTGAGGGCAGGGAAGGGGCGTGAGCAGCCGTGCCCTCGGGCATCCGCACCGCTCCCGGGCACAGGGAAGGGTCAGAGTTTGGGAAAAGAGGAAGAAGCTGGACGCCCCCAACTAAGCTTGACCCGGCCAGGAAGCCAGGTCAGCCTGGCTGTGGCTTCATGCTGCTTTAGGGGACAGCCTGAGACACCTGGGACACAGGAGGCAGGGACAGCCTCGCGCGTGTCCCATTCCAAAAACCCCGGGTGGCACCACGGCAGCAGGCAGGTGCTGCCGCGGCCGTAGGTACGGGTGCTCTGTGTCTTCAGGACCTTAAAAGCGGCCCAGCAGAAGCCACGCAGAAAGTGCATGGTGGCAACAACATTACCGGGAGCCGCTCACGCCCAGACCCGCTCCCCGCGGGAGTTCTTCCCCGTGGGTGAGGAGGGCAGATTAGAAAGCATGGAGCCTTTAGGAAAAGAGAAAAGCGGGGCTGAGGGTCGCCATGCAGGCGCTGCTGGCTGCGTCTGTGCGGCCGATAGCGAGCAGCTCCTTTCCCGGCGTTTGGCAGGCTGAGAGCAGCAAGGACACGGGCGGCCGGGGGCGGGGGGGCTCGGGCACATCCCGCGGGTGGGGTAGCTCTGGACGTTCCCCCGGGAACGGAGGAGGGCAGCCTGGCACGAGGGCTCGGGGGGAGGGATGGCTTGGGCAGGCTGGCAACTTTCACCCGCCCGGAATTAATTAACGTTGTCTCGTTAGCGAGATGCGTTTGGCCCGGCCACGCGTATGCTGAGCCGGGCCAGCCTGGAGATAAACCGGCAGCAAATGGGGCGAGAAAGAGGGGAAGAAAGCGCCCTGACCTCGAGTAAGTGAGCTGGAGAGAGAGGGAGCAGGGTGGAATGGACGGGGAGGCAGCGACCATCGGGTATGTCCGGTCCGGTCAGGGCCCAGCATCCCGACAGGGGCCGCGGGCACCCCACCTTGGCAAAGCCGGGGGCACTGCGGGCTTTGCCCTCGTCCCGAGGACAGGTACCCCTCGAACTGAGCCAGGATTATTGGGGAGGTGGCTTGGCTGTTGCTCTGCAAGTGACCCAGGATGGTGTGCTGGGCACAAGAAAGTTTGCCGGAGTTGTGCTTCTAATCTCCTCTCGGCCGACTTTCAGGCTCAGCTGTTTGATGCTATTAGTGAAACAACCTTTTTTTTTTTTTTTTTTTTTTTTTTTTATCTGAACTCCCTGTGCGTGTGTGTCAACATGCAGCAGGTGGTTTATTATATTCCCCTGTTATTATTTTATTATGAACTCTTTTTATAGCTGCAATCAAAATAATGGTCTGGAGTTTCGAGAAGGATTTAGCGTCTGTTTTGCACCACTCACTCGATCTCCTGAAAATATTTGGTTTTGCGGGGGGACGACACGTGGGGAGCTGAAGCAACTCATGCTCCCGCTGGGAACAAGCAGAGCTAGGTGCAAAGCTTCACTCAAAAAACAGTGGCCACCCAGGAGCAGGTGGGCAGGTTGAGGAGAGCTTGGGGGCTTGCTCCCCTTTTGTCAGATCTGGGGGAAGGCGGAGGTGGCAGTTCTCCAGCCACCAAGGTGCACTCTGCCAGGATGGCAAAGAGTTTTGGCGGAGCTGTGAAAAGCAGAGATGAGCTTGTCTTGCTTTAACCTACATTAGCTCCGGGTCCATATGGTAGATGCTGCCTGTGGATCCTCAGCACCAAAGCAAGGCCCTATTCTTGCGCGCCGCCCTGCTTGTGCCAGATGGTGCCTGGACCAAGTGGCCATGCGTGGGGTGGCTCTGGTTAGCCTAATAAACGTCCAATACAAGTCAAAAATCAAAACACACACATACTAACATCTGCTAGAGCCTGCAGTACCCAGCTAGCCTTTCAATACTGAATTAAAGAGCCCCACAGCCCTTCTGTTCCCCTAGGTTAGACACTCATTACCATTTATCAAGCACTGATGTTATCTGGCCTCTCATTTTATTTAGTACCGAAGCTATTAGCATCAGATTTGATTTTGACAGTTGACGCTGCTGCTGGTAAAGCCGGGATCTGGCCGGGTGGATCGCTGCAAAATTCCGAGTTCATCAGCGGCGACACATTCCTCCTTCCCACTTGTTTACGAGGCCGAGACAAAAGAGCTCCTCGCCTGTGCCTCTCTGCCTCGCGGTGTATCTCCACCACGGACACGGCTCCCGTCCGCACAGACACGTACCCCAGGCGACAGCCGGGCTACTCGGGACAGAGCCAAGCCGAGGGTGCCCGGCCGAGGGTGCAGTCCCCCGACATTGCCAGAGTCTGTGTATCCCGCCTTCGGCTTTCACAGGCACAGTGGGGACCGGGAGAAGTTTTAATCCTCTTTTGGTGGCGACCCCGATTTCCAGCCTGTGCCTCTGCCCAAACCAATCCACGGCGGCGGTGGCCGTGGCTTTCCCCACGCTTTCTCTGCGAAGCCGAATCCTGTTCCCCAGCCCCCTTCCCCGGCCCTCCTGGTGACACCTCGGGCGTTTGGACCCTGACCACATCCCGGGCCAAAGCCGGTCTCCAGGGAGAGCAGCCGCTTTAAACGTACGAGGGAGCGCCACGGCCTGGGAAGTTTGGCTGGAGCGTGCCCTACCCATGCTGCCTCGCCTCCAAACGATCCAGACCCCCATTCCCCCCCCCCCCCCCCCAAAGAACTCGGGGTGGGGAAGTAACGCAGCGAGAACAGACCCTTTGGGAGAGCAGAGGGGCGGAAGGGGACAGCAGCGCTCTGCGCCTCCCGTTGCTCCCCAGGTGACCCACGCCGCGGAGGCCCGCAGCCTGGCGCGCCGGGCGCTGGCAGAAAGGTGGCAAGACCTCATTACCATACAGCTGAGGGTTTATCTCTCCCTCCCTCCTTCCCTCCCCCACTCCGGCCTCCCATCCATTTAACAAGCTGAAATAAAAAGCCACATGAAAGGCCTTCTCTGTGCTTGGCTTTAATGAGGGACACGCGACCCAACAATAAGCGCACGCTGCAATCAGGCCAAGGGCTTTATGGCACACGCCAGACCGCAACCCGGCCGCGGCCAGGCGGCCAGACACGGCCCACGGCCCCGCTCCCGCCCCGCTTGCCTGCAGGCGCCCGAGTTTTCCCCTTGCCCGTGTTTCTGGGAGCCGGGACAGCCTGGGGAAAACCCAGCTCCGTCCCTGCTGCCGACCCCGGCCACCTCGCAGGAGCGCTCGTTCGCCACCGAATTCGGAAGAGCGACGAGCGCCCGTCGATCCCCGCCGTGCCCGCCTCCCCAGCCATCACCCAGCCCGCCCTCGGTGGGCTCCGTTAGCCGGGGTCAGGAACGGGGCCGGGCCTGCGGCACGGGCGCCCCAGAGCCGGGCGCTGCGCCCCGGGAGCCGCCCCGGGTGCCCGCCTGCCGGGCAAACAGCGTTTTACTTTTGGTTTCTAGCCGGGGCCAGCCCCCGCCGGGCAGGGCAGCTCCTGCCCGCCGGCCCGTCCCGCCGCCCGGGACACGGCCGGGGAGGGGGGACACGCGTGGAGTTGTGGGGTGGAGGGCAACAGGGAACGAACAAACTAACTAACTAACGAGAGTATTTGTGAAACATTTCATCCGCTATTGTTCGGCCGCCGTAGAAAGCTGCCCTGTGGAGAGGCGTCTGATTTTCGAGGGAACTCTCTCTCCCAGGGTGAGCGCCGTAAATATCTCAACAGATGCTCGGCTCGTTCGTAATCAGCTCGGCTCCTCGGCGGGCAGCGCGGCAGCAGCGGCGGCGGCGGCGGCAGCAGGGTATTAATTCGGGATATGAGGGCTCTCCGCAACATTTGGTTCTTTTTTCCAGAAAGGAAAGATGGAAAAGGGGAGGGATCGCCCGTGAGTCTGAGTGACAGTTTACATAATGAGCTTGTGAGGATGCGAGGCAACTATATAAACAGCTCGAAGCGAAGCAAGTTTTCCATTTACTGAGCGCTGTTAGCACCGGTTAAAGGAGGAGCGGTTCCACACTAAGCACTCCCCTCCGCGTCTCTCACCAAACCCACCCGGCTTTGGAGTTTATAAAGGCGACGACAGCGATCAGAGGTCGGCGGCTGGCTGCAGGATTAATTCCCAAAAGGGGACGGATCGACACCTGGATTTTACCTTCCGATTTCTGCTGGTGCTCGGGGAATATTTGGAAGGGCAGGTTGCTCCCGGAGAATCGCCGTGACGCCTCTCTTTTCTCACTCGACCAAGAAGCGCTTGCTTGGTCCATTTGAGGAATACAGAAGGAAAACTAAACCCACTAAGAACTGGAAGCTCGAATAACACAAGGATGACAGCCTTGCGCATCTTTGGCTTGACGTTTCTGTTAACGATTTTGCAGCAGGTAATCGCACACACAAAAAAAAAAAAAAAAAAAAAAAAAAAAAGGGTTCGCGAAATGTAAAGTGGGTGATGGAAGGAAGTTTGCATGGCAAAGCCGGGTAAGGTCTGATTTGGCTATTTTGTGTGTCTCCCCTTTGTGCAGAGGGTGTCCGGCTCCGGCGTCTTCCAGCTGGAGCTACACGAATTCGTGAATAGCCACGCGTCTCTGGCCAGCGGGAAGCCCTGCTCCCCCCACTGCAGGACCTTCTTTCGCGTTTGTTTGAAGCATTTTCAGGCAGTGGTTTCCCCGGGCTCCTGCACTTTCGGCAGCATCATCACCCCGGTTCTGGGAATAAACTCCTTCAGCATCAAGGATACAGAGAGATTTGACAGTCCCATTAAGCTCCCCTTTAACTTCACGTGGCCGGTGAGATTCTACTTTAAACCTTAAAGTACTTAAATTATTTTGATGGTGGGGCAGGAGGGTGGCAAGAGCAGGCTAGCAGCGGCGGGCTGGTAACCTGTAATGTAAACAAACTACTTTTGCTTTTAGATTTATTTCCAGAACTTCCTTTAAAAAATAATTTAAAAGCGCAATGAAAAAGCTCATCCAGATCAGAAGCACTTGGGATAACTGATGTTATTAAGAGAAATAAAGCAAGGGGCTGGTGGGCTTGGAGGTGGGGATGCGAATCGTGGTCTGTGGGAGGGAGGGAAGGAGGGAAGTGTGTAGCCGCGGGGAGAGAGCGCACATGCGGAGCAGGGCAGGGCAGGGCAGGGCAGGGCAGGCCGGTGTGCGGTGGCGCGGTGGGGCGCGGCTCGGCTCGGCTCGGTCGGGCTGTGCGGTGGGGTGCGGGGCTGACGCTGGATTCTCTCCCGCAGGGAACCTTCTCCCTGATCATCCAGGCCTGGCACGCGCCTGACAACTACCTGCCGGAAGGTGAATACCGCGCGCGCCGCCGGCAGGGGGAGCCCGCGCGGCGGGAGCGCCCTCAGGCCCGTCCCGCGCGTCCCCCGGGCCCCCCCGGTCAGCTGTTTATGCCATAACTCCGGGGCCGGCTTTATCCCACCATCAGGAGCCGGTCCCCCAACGATATCCATCAGGGGCCGCTTTGATTCTGCCCCGGCCTAATCTCCAACACAATTGCGTTTCCTCCGGTTTATTTTTGGCGTGGGAAAGCGAGGCGGGCTGCGGTGAGAAAGCCGGGAGCCTGCCAGCAAGCCCCGTCCGCCTTTTCCTGTATTTTACACCTTGCTCGAATTCCGCCCTTTGGAAAGGAATAATGGCTTTGGGATGTTTTTCTGAGAGGAGAGGAAAAGGATATTTCACAGCAGCCCTCCTTTCACAGGCCCCTCGGCTAAGTCCCTTTGGCCCGGGTTCGCACACCCTGATGGCCACCTTTTTGTACCCTTGCACACATCAACATCCACACGCGTGCCTGTGTGCATGTACATAGATGTATTTGTGTGTATGTGTGTACATAGATGTATTTGTGTGTATGTGTGTACATAGATGTATTTGTGTGTATGTGTGTATGTACGTGCGTGTGTAGGTGTACATGTGTAGGTGCGAGCGGGCTGTCCCGCTCCGCTGGCGCGGCGGGGCGGGACGCGGCGGGCTCAGAGCCGCTGACCCGCTCCCGCTCTCCCGCAGGCTCCCGGCCGCCCCCGCAGGAGTGGCTCATCAGCCAGATGTCGATCCAGCGGTCGCTGTCGGTGGGCGAGGACTGGTCGCAGGACGTGCATCAGGGCCCGCTGACCAAGCTGCGCTACTCCTACCGCGTGGTCTGCAGCGAGAACTATTACGGCGAGAGCTGCTCCCGCCTCTGCAAGCGCCGCGACGACCGCTTCGGGCACTACGTGTGCGCGGCGGACGGGAGCCTGGCCTGCCTGCCCGGCTGGGCCGGCGAGTACTGCACCGACCGTGAGTGCCGCGGGCAGCCGGGCGGGGGGCAGCGCGGCGGGCGCGGCTCTGGAGCTCACAGGGGCCTCCCGTGGCCCGGGCTGTGTTTTCACGCCAACCTCTCCACTCCCTGTCTGGCGAGGCAAAGTTGGGCGCTGAGGACTTTGGCCCCTTTGGCTGCAACCACCCAACGCTGTGCTGCGCCTCGGCGAGCCTTAGCAGCAAAGAGCGAGCTGGCAGGAAAGGGACCTTGGCTGATAGCCCTGAATAGCCAGTAGCTGTTGCAAGGTAAAAGGGTAGCAGCTTGCTCGCACAAAGTCTGCCACCAGCCATTCCTGCAGCCAGAGGACATGAGACGGGTGTTGCAGTGTGATAGTGGGGACCTTTACTCTGAGCTCAGGGTATCGTTGGGTTTTTTCAGCCTTTCATTAGCACAAGCCAAAGCTGCTTTCTCTTGCTGCTTTTCTAGCAAGAGTTGCAAGAGTTCATGTTTGTTGCATAAACAGAAAAACTAAAGGACAACTTGTCAAGTGTTGGCTCTCCCTGTTCACTTCCTCCTGTCCCAGAACTCCCTGTACCAAGAAGTTTTAAAACAAAGCTTTGAAAGTGTAAAACTCTTTTAAAAGTGTTTTTAAAAGCTTTGTACCCTTTAAAAGTGTATTCTGCAATGCCATGTGTATTTACCTAAACATTTATGCTTTTTTATGTTCTCTTCACAGCCATCTGTCTGGCTGGATGTACCGAACAGAATGGATATTGCAACAAGCCTGGCGAGTGCATGTGAGTAGATGGCAAATGCAGTCTGAACATCAGTTAAAACGTCACCTTGTAATAGAAACTTAAACTCTTCTCCATGTCATTAATGTTTTAATTGGACTTTTCTTTTAGCTGCCGTCCTGGTTGGCAAGGCCGCTACTGTGATGAATGCATTCCCCATATAGGCTGCCGCCACGGGACTTGTAAAACACAATGGCAGTGCATATGTGATGAAGGATGGGGCGGCCTCTTCTGTGATCAAGGTTAGTTCTGAAGCTTACACTTACAGCTCTAGGTTGGGTACTCCTTAGTAGTACACTAAGGAATCTGACCCACTGGATCTGGAATTAAATTTCCCCAAGGTACATCTTCACAGGCATCAGTTTGTAGCATTGCAGCCTTACGTACCAGCTCTTGTAGCAATTTCGTTTGAAAGCAAGGAAGCGGTTTTGGTAGCTGCAGTTTTTCTCTTGCAAAAGAAGTTTCTCATGGAGAAAGACCTAACAATCTGGATAAGTGTTGAACAGACAAGTTTTCTGCCTGATCAAGCTAAGTTTAACTTACTCCTTGTACAAGTACAAGAGTTTACTAAATAGTTTCCAGCAGCAGTAAACAGCATCATTTGGGCCTTCCTTATTTTGCATACAAGGAAGTTAACTCATGTGATAAGTCTGGAGCATGAGAGAAAAATCATGTAAGCAAGAATGAAAAGTACAGGTTCCATTTTAAGGTACACCAGACCACTTCCACCTATTCAACCCACTGAATCACTGAACCGTAGCCAGCTGAGCAGTCATGTCCTCAAGGCCATATATGCACTGCTGGCACTGAGGTCATTAAGTGCTCAAAGCAGGCTAAGTGTTTCCAGAACAGTTATAGGATTAAGATGGTGAAGGCTGAATTAAGCAGGAAAAGTAAAGTTGCAGGGTTTTTTTCTGCTTATAGTTATCTATTAACCAGTTGCATTCAAATTACTCTATAGTATTTATAGAGATAATAAAGCTTTTCTTACTTACGTCTTATGAACTTATGCTTAACCTCTGTCTCAAATTTAAAGGAAAAAAAAATTAAAACCATCAAGCTTGGCAGGGCATTTGACAGTTTAATCTACTAACATCCATAACAAAAGAGCAAATAAACAATAAAAGATTTCTAGTGCTTGTTTAAATCTCAAAGCCAAAACATCTTTTGTTTTTCCTCCCTGCCTTTCTAGAATGTGCCTCAGAGCACACCTTTTAAAGATGGGGCTCACTCTTTTAGTGTGTAACGTGCTGTACATGAAGTGTCCATAGTGCTGTGTTGTGTGATTTGGAGAACACATGCTTGTGAAGTGCATTTTCCAGTTTGGTACCTAAATCCCATTGCAACTAACAGTTTCATGTCCACAAAAAAGGGAAAATATTCCAAAACACTAAGAAAGTTATATTTTTGCCACCTCTCTCAAAATTCAGAGCTCAAGTGATAGATGGTAATCTGATTATGACTGATAACAATCTCCAGTATTCCCATCGCTACCAAAATGAAATGCTTCTTTGGAAATTCTGTCTTTTTTCCTGACTACAGACTTTCTGTATGTATGTCATTTCCCAGCTGTCAAAGACGTGTTCTCCTAACTCCTGGTCTCTTTGCAGATCTGAACTACTGCACTCACCACAGGCCATGCAAAAATGGAGCCACTTGCATGAACACTGGCCAGGGCAGCTACACGTGTGCGTGCAAACCCGGCTTCACCGGCGTCGACTGCGAGCACGAGATCAGCGAGTGCGACAGCAATCCCTGTCGGAACGGCGGCAGTTGCACGGTAGGGGCATTTTAAATGTAAAGCCTTTGTGTGAAGCAAGCCCCGGTGTGCCTTTCCAGCCATGCTTCTGTAACAACATAATGGGAATTCGATAGGACGCAGGTTCATTACTGACGCTCACAACTATCATACTGAACCCTTTCCGAGAGGTGTCGGGGGAGGAAGTCTGTTACAGGAGGAGATGTATCATCTAGATTAGAGCTGGTCAACTGATCCTTGGGTTTCTGTGGCAGCCATTATGAGAGCTTGGCAAGATCCAGGGTTGATGAGGGAGCAGATCTGTTAAAAACAAGCTTCTCAAGCCACTGCTCATACAGAAATGCACTAAGTCTGTATTTTAACAGCAAATAAAATTTTGCTTTCTGCTACAGGAAGTGAGAATATAGTGTCAAACAATATGGGGGTGATCAGCTGAAACTTTCTGTAAAACAGAATTCCACACTTTTGGATTCTCGTAGTTTAGTGTTTCAGCCTGTTTTTGGATCCAGTTTATGATGGATTCTTACCAATGATGGATTGGTAAAGGCTGATTGATTATAGATATCAAATGTAATCTGACTCATGTTTAGATTAAAGCCAGTGAAATTTTTAGATTAAAGCACCAGATCCTACCTCTCTTCTCCCAAGGCCTTGGACATATAGCCCTTGGAAAGAAGAAACAGTTTCTTATGATTTAAGTGGTGGGACTTAGGCAAGCGAAAGCAACTTAAACCCTTGTGAAATAAAAAAGGGCTCTCACACTGAGAATAAATGGCCTGATCACAGCTGTGAGGTCAACACATACTGCTCTGGGAAGACATCTGGGAAGACCTCTGGATCTCATTAGACAGTAGTGGTGTTAGCAATGCTTTTGTGTAGCTGCCTGTGTGCTCCCTACAACTGCATCTCCTGTGCGTGGGTAGCCGCACCATTATTCCTGTGTGCTGAGTACAGCTGATCCACAGCTCTGTCCCTCACAGTCCAGCCTGCAGTTGTTTACTCTCCTGATGTCCTCATCCACATCAGGCTGTGGATGAGAGGGGACTGAACAGCGCTTGCTGCTGACCAGAACTAAGCATGCAGGGAGCTATCATTCCTTTCCATGAAATAACAGTGGCCTAATGTTGTGTTTTGCAGGATATGGAGAACGGTTATCACTGCCTGTGCCCCCCTGGCTACTATGGCACTCACTGTGAGCACAGCGCTCTGACGTGTGTAGATTCTCCGTGCTTCAACGGTGGCACGTGCTTGGAAAAGGAGCAAGGGGCCAGCTACACTTGTGTGTGCCCTTTTGGCTTTACGGGGTCAAACTGTGAAAAAAAAGTAGACAGGTGCACAAGCAACCCGTGTGCAAATGGTGAGTCTTTTTATCAAAAAAATCTCATGACCCTGACTCATTTGTGCTTTTCAGTGCAGAAGTGATAGAAATCCAATCTGACCTCTACTCTTCCTCTAGAACATTAGTCCCGCTCCCCCACTCTATTCCACATCCACCCTAATTTTAGTCTCTTGCTGGGGCGGGACTTTCACTGGCATTTTCTATGCAACAAAACAGTGCATGAGGTTTATCATATGGTGGGGAATATGGCAGAATTCAATTAAATTAACTCTGTTGCATATTTAGAAGGGGCATAATTTTAAGGCACGGTGATACAATTAGGTAAAGTAGAATGAACTTTTAGATGTGCGATTGTTTTGTAAAATAACCTCTCTTTCCTTGAGGTAGTATAACATGCTGAGCAGAGAAGGGTTTAGATTTCTGAGTGAAGTGCATTGCAAACTAATTTTTATTTCACTTTTTTCCCCTCAGATGGTAGTTGCTTTTACCTTGGGCAGATTCGTGTGTGCCGCTGTCGGGCTGGTTTCTCTGGTCAGAAATGTGAGATAAACATCAATGATTGTGCCAGAAACCCGTGTTCCAATGGGGGAACTTGTCATGATCTGATCAACGATTACACCTGCACATGCATGCCAGGCTACAGTGGCAGGAACTGTGACATCAAAACCAGAGATGAATGTGCTTCTGGGCCATGTGAAAATGGAGGCACATGCTACAGTGGACTTTATAGTGCCAACTTTGTTTGCTACTGTCCTTCTGGCTTCATGGGCAACCGCTGTGAATTGCCAGTTTATTCAGTGCCCGTTACACTTCCTCCCAAACCAGTCCCCTGGATTGCTATATCCATGGGGGTGGGGCTGGTGGCTTTGCTCATACTGTTCTGCATGATAGCAATGGTCATCAGGCAGATGAGGATGCACCCAGAGCAGGAGTTGGAGACAATGAACAACCTGTCTGACTTCCAGAAGGACAATCTCATTCCAGCTTCCCAGCTGAAAAACACCAATAAAAATAAAGACCTTGAAGTGGACTGTGGGCTGGAGAAATCAAACTACAAACCCAAGAACCATAAACTGGACTACAATCTGGTAAAAGACCTGACAAGTAGAGGGACACCGGAAGATAAATATTACAAAAGTGAAAAGTGTTTAGGAGAGAAGTCTCCCCTCCGACTACACAGGTGAGAATGCAGTTTTTATTATAGTCCTTCTTAAAGCCACTCATCAGATCAAAGCCAGGAATCTTCATACTGGAGTACATGTGTCACAACCAAGTGCTATCCTTAGCCAAGTCAATGAATTTGAGTGTTTGTGCAGGGTGCTGCTGGTATGGATACTGTGAAGGAATCCAGAGTGGCTAGGCCAGTGGTGAAAATAAGAAGTATCTTTCCTTCCTCAGTAGATCTTGGAGGAGCAACAGTAAAGGCATACAGTGATTAAAGATAAATATTTCACTTTGTAAGAAGGCAAGATGATCTGCTTACGAGAAGAATGATGGAGTGAAAACAGCTACCTTTTTTCAAAAGGGGAAAAGGGCGGGTGTTCAGTGGCTTATCAGTCTTCTGATTCATGTGCTGAAGGTCTTGTCTGGGGTCTGTGTGTGGTTGTTAGACCGAGGGCTTTGAGGAACCCTCTGTTAGGCTGGACGTGGCAGGAGCATAGGAAGACTCTCGTTGTTCCTTATTTCCACTTCTCTAGCATAATATCCCAACAGACACAGAATGTGTGAAACTTGATCCCATGCACTTCCCTTCCACACCTTCATGGCTATCTCGTTCCACCGCTCCATATTCATGGTAGATTTTGAGGGTCAGGCTTGTCAGTAATCAGCTAATGTTCTTTTTTCTCTGCCCTGCCGTAGTGAAAAGCCAGAATGCAGAATATCAGCGATATGCTCTCCGAGGGATTCAATGTACCAGTCCGTCTTTGTGATAACAGAAGAAAGGAATGAGTGCATCATAGCCACAGAGGTAAGCAAGTACAGAGGTGGACAGGCATAAGTTCATAAGGTAAAAGGCTAAATTATCCTTTCGTATTGTATCTGAGAAGGTTCCTTTATTTCCAGGGATTGTGATACTTCCAGCATTTTCCTCTCCTCTTCTGTGGCCCACACAGAACATGCAGTGAGGAAAAGAAAAACATAAGCCGCTCTGACTTTATTAATCCAGAGGTTTTGGGCATAGATAAGTCAGTGGTAGATGAAAACACAGAACATCAGCCCATAAAAATTCAGCACATTGTAGGTTTATTTCCTCTTAAATAGGTGGTCAGAAAAAAAAATGGAAATAATAATCATTCTTAGGCCCATTGATGTAAAGCCATGTTTTTTCCTCTGACTACAATGGATAATCTTTGTTCTGTGGAAACAGGCAAAGCTATAGATTTCTAGCTGAAGATGGAAGGTAGCAGGATGTGTTAGTGGATAGGCATAACAGCCATTTAGGAAGTGTGTTCTAAGGTAATTTCAACCTCTTAGCATTTAAGCTCCAGCTAAATACTCTCTAGCAAAAGTTAATGCTGTTACTGATAAAAACATCTCGATTTTTATGTTATATTGAAAATCTGGATACGCAGAAAGAGGAAAGGCCTAACACTGAACTTGAAAGACCTTGAAAAGCAGATATTGAGGAACCAAATAGTTCCTGAAGAACTACCAGCCTTTTGGAAAGAGTCTCAGTGGAAGTTAAAGGCAATTTGACTGTAACCAATACCTGCCTTCTTCAGTGTAGTCATCTTTAGGACTAATTTCAGCCTGTAGGAAAGAGAAGCTTGCTGTGCCATACAGCAGTGATCTGTGAAGTCAGATCTGCAGGATTCAGTCTCCCTTTCCAAGGTGGATATCAGATTTCCCCTTGAAAGCAAGCTGGAACACAAGTCAACCAACAATATTAAAAGTTTAAGACTAAGTGGAAGGATTCAGATACAAATGACAGCTAGATGCTTCATTCCCATTAAGCGAGCTGAATTCTCTATCTTCAAAGATTTTGCTGACCAAAGCTAGGCTTACACAGATGACTTTTTTTTTTTTTTTTTGCTGGTGCTTCTTTGCCTCTGGATCCAACTGAAAACATTAAGCTCTGAGAGTTAAAGTGCAGTAATGTTTGGCTTGAATTGCTTTGGTTTGACATAGCTGAATTATAGTTTGTTAGTTCTGCACTACTCGGTATGCTGTGATTCCTTCTCATTCCAGGTGTTATTTTATATCCTGACAGGTATAAGACTGAAGACCATTTGCACCTCAGATTTGATGATGCCAGTAGATGGACGTTCCTGCTGCATTGTTTACAATTCAGAACTGGATTGGACTGTTTTTAATTACATGCAACTTGCTGCTCTCAGGCGGAGGATGGAACTGAGTGAACTGGACAGACTGTGAATTTACTGAAAGATGCAATACACCTTTTTGTTCTTACTGCCCTTGTTTGAAGTTTGATACCAGAAATCTCATTTGCTATTGAAAAGGGGAGGCAGAGGGAAGAGAGAGGTTAAAAATGTTGGTTTTTTTAAAAGATGCTGAGGCCAGTTCCTCATGGACAGACCCCTGGCTTTCCAGAACTCTGGTTATGGGAGGTGTTGGTAGATAAGGAGGCACATAACTGTCACAGATGTTGCCATGGAAGGTGCGAAGCAAGACACATTGCTATGCAGATAATGGATACAGTATAAATGAGGTCTCAATTTTTTCTGGGTTTAAAAGTGCCTATAATGTGTCAAGAGAATCTAACAAGCCCAAACAGAAACTCGACTGCTCTTTTTGCAGTTACCTGAACAGTACTGGGCAGAGGTGGTTGATACTTCCTGCTAAACATCCATTTGCATCTCCTCTCTCCTGCTGCATGTACTGGAGACTGTGTGAGGGGTGAGAGGAGGAGGAAAGAAGAAAACTGAATTTACACGTCAACTCATTTGGTGATGCTTTGGAGAACTGATTGACTCAAGCCACGATGTGGAGCATGATTTTTGTGGAAGTTGTGATAAGGAATGTGTACTGCCTCGTCCCCACTGATAGGGAGGAGGTGATCCCAGCTCTATATAAGGCCTTACAAATGCGTTTAAAATCAATCAGCTCCTAGAACCTTTATGTGCTGAGCTGTCTCAGCTGTTTTCATGCCCTTTGCACTACCAGTGATTGTGAATAGACATTACTTCTTTTCTTCTCCTTCCTCATTCTCTTCCCCCTGCCTTATTTTGACACAAATTCAGGGGTTTATGTAGTGTTTCTGAATTAGGTGCCACCTTTTACTGCAAATAGTCTCAAAATTGCAGCTGCTACTTTCTGAAGAAGCAGCAGCAGTGTGACACAACCCACTTACTCCCCCCCATTTCTCCATGTGGTTGCAAAACTCCAACTCTTGTTCTTCATCCCGGTTCTAAATGCCCAGTAGTGAAGCACCCACTGAGATGCCCTCTGCCAAGACAGGCGGTGATTAAAGTTAGAAGGTTTTAGGCTCATCCTGTTTCTTTCATACCCACCCAGTGCTACATGGAAAATGTGCTGTGTCTGTCGCTGGCAAGCAGAGGCGGGCAGAAGCTCCTTCCTTCTATACATATTTACAGCAATAATACCGGACACCCCAGTGGAAAGTGCCGTGACACTCATGAATGAGACCGGGGCAAGGGGCAGAATGAGGAGGGAGAAACAAGATCTCTTAGAGGAAACCTGGACTGCTATCTCTCTGACAGCGATATTCCTGCCCTTGCAAAGCCTGTTGGACTAGCCCATCTGCTCCCTTGAACTGTGCAGACAAGACCCCTTCATATTGTCCACTACTGACCTTCTGCTCTGACCACGTAGGACCATTTTGAAGATGACCTTCAGAAATCAATAATATGGGTTTTAGTTTGTCTGTTTGTAGTTTATTTTGAAGACTAGTATTTCAGTAATTTAAAAAAAAAATCAGAAGCACTGAACTTTCTACGTTTTATAACATTATTTTGTATATAATGTATATTTATAATCAAAACAGAAGTGTAAATATGTTTATTACTTCTCATGTAATGTTTTTAATGTGATGACAAAGTTTGAATTTTATTTTTTTTTTCAAGCAATGAAAATACTTTCCTGCTACTACAAAGTTTGTTGTGGTTTGTCCTTTTACACTTTATTCTGTGACAGCCAAAGTTAGCGAAGCCCCCCAGAAGTAACCTCGCCTGCCTGGTCCCTACATTCACATTTTGCACACCAACTGATGTCAGCTGCTTTTTATAAAAAAAGTTTTAGTGTTAAGACCTGTCAACAAAGTTGTTCAGCTGAGTGGCATTCATCTGACATTTTGAAATGTTGTACATATTTATATTGTGATAGATAATATTTAAATTACATATATACACGCACGTGTATATATACACACATTCTCTTGCTGTGTGTGGGACTGAACTGTCGGGAAAGTTATTTTTATTAATGCTTCACTCTTCCTCTCCCCTGACCACCCATGACACAAAAGATGCAGATTTAATACCATTTCAACGTGGCTTAATAAATGTGTTGTCTTGGGATTCACTTACAGAACAAAACACTATTGCCATGTTTTTTAATCCTATTTCTTTAAACACTTTTAATAAGATCCAAATCTCATCCACAGGTTACTGTGGCACAGCACCTACACCTAAACAAGTAAGATTGTATCCTTGTTTGTTTGATTGCAAGGGGTAAGATTTGTCTTTCACTTGTGGGATTAGGGGGAGTTTCAGGCTTTCTCCTCCTGAGTTTGCTGCACTACATCAGCAGCTGTGTCCTCCCGGGGCATCACAAAGTCATTATCCTCTACAGCCCTTTTGGAGGACATTTCCACCAAAAAAAAAGTGTAAAAAGCACACTTGTAAAAACACTCCCAGCAGGTTTAGTAGCCTTTGAAGCACATACACTTACAGGCAATTAAGTCTCTCACTAAATCAGCTAGGTGCAATACAGCCAAGATCTGAGTGCACAAAAGCAAAACTATAAGAACAGGAAACTACTGCTGCTCTGTTTTAAAATCAGGGGGGTTTGTTGTTGCTGACAAAGTGCCAAAAATCATCTGAATATTGGATGCCTTTCCCATCTTTCCCCAAAATAAAATCTAAGCAAAATTTGCTATTTTTTTCCAAAAAAATGAAAAATTAAAAACCCCAGTGACATTTAAAAAGCCATAACAAATTCTTTTTACATCATTAAAAATAAGTCATTAAAGTACTGCAACTAACGATTCATAAGGGTCCCTCTGAGTGTATTATTAGGGTTACATAAATACTGTTTACTTTGGATGGTTTTGTTTCTCCCTCTTTAGACCTTTTCACAGCAAAATTGACTTTCAAATCCCAGCCAATTTCCCCAGCTACCATAAAAATAAATTTAAGACGAAACTCAGAAATAAAAAGCCACCTCCCCCTCCCCAAACATTCACCCTGTAGAGCAAATTATGAAAAACAAGCCATTGACAAAAAGCTGAGCAGATGCTCTCTGCTTGCAGTCCTTCCTCGGCAATGTGAAATAAACCCAACAGATGCCTCTCTTAATTGAGCACATGGATTACATACACACATGCACTCTGTCCTGCTTAAAACAAAACACACACAAAAATCAAACAGGAAAATAGACAGAGAACTCTTCCCAATGCCTAGGCAAGCAGGAATGCTAAGACCAAAAAAGACTCAGCTCTTCCTGCTCAAAACATGACAGGAAACTGTACCCATAGACAGAAAGGAGTTGAAATCCATTAAAACCTGTGGACCTGATTATGTAGATCCCATGGGGAAAACAGGTACAACACATGCCTTTGTGTATCCACACAGGAGAGAGGAAAAAAAAAAAAAAAAGCATCATCTTACAAGGAAATCTGTGAATATTTACTGGAGGCAGCACTGCACGATGCAGCTACCAGAATAGATCACAGATCCTACACAGGAAAAACAGGAGCAGTGCCTGCTTCCACACAGGGGGACATGGAAAGCATATGTGAATCCCTGCACGTGTGCACATCCCCAAGTCCTTGCCAAAGAAACCACAGGAAAGTTAGCTGAACACATAACATGACCTGGATTTAACCCACATCTTTGGCCAAAACCTTCCTCACCGAGGGCCACTGTTCTCTGGCTGCTCAGCAGCCTGGCTCCCCCCAGGTGAGTACATCTCTGAGCCACAGTGTGGGAATTCACCAGGAGGAGCTGAGATCCTTCTGGCTGTAAAGACTCCTCAACCTCAGTTTCAGGGATTCCTCTTGAGGACCACAGACCATGTAAGGACCAAAATATTGTGATAAGCAGTGCCTTTTATCTTAAGCTCTTGACAAGCTTATAGACTTCTCAGACCAAACTGTACAATTTATTGCTTTCACATCATTTGCAATAACTATGGTAAGATTATGGATTTGGCTCAAGGACTGCAGCTAAATTTGGCATTCAGTTTTAAAAGGCTGCACAAATTCACTTGAAAGCCATGTGACAAAACAACAATTTTAAGAACGGACTCTGCTTCTGAGAAACTCATGTTTCCTTGTATTAGCACCTGTTAAAAACTTTTCCACAGCCACGCAGAGCCCTTCAGTCTAAGTAACTGTGGAGCTGGAATGAGCGAGAGGGGTACTTCCTCGGACACTGCTTCCCCTGAGTTGTTTCATGTTCGGCTCCAGCCCTACATCACTTTCCTCTTTGATGACTCTGCTGATGAAGGGAGACAGATGCCGGGACATACCCGTAGCTATAGCACCCACTGGTGCTGACACAACATGCAGCAGGACACAGCACAGGGCACAGAGTTTACTTAAGTTAATGTAGGTGAGGGATGCTTGTAGAACTTGGGGTCGACACAGGACGCGCACAAGACTTGACCAGCAACAGCCTTCAGCCTTGAAAGAGCTGCTGAGGAAGAGTAAATTAGTTATTGTGCAATTGCAGCCACCTAGTCCAACAGATGAAATTATCTCTGAAAAAAATGCATATCAGGTATTTTCATTGCTCCTCAGTCTTTTCTTTCATTAACTTATGCTAAAAACGAGAAAGGCACAGTAGGTCACTGGCAAATCTTCACTCCAGCAGCCTAAGCGACAGTTACGTATCTGTGTTTGCCTGTCATTCCCTTATCTCCCATACCTGACCCATAAATACACATTGCTTTTACGCAGCAAATATGACACTCCCAGCACATTTTGCTCTCAATCCAAACTCCAGTTGTAGAGAACTGACATCACTCAGTGGTCCTCTGCCACAATTCACTGTTTTCACAACTTCAATTTTACACCCTCTCCATCAAGATTCCCTGCCCTCATTGTGCCTCTCCCTCCTTAAGTCCTGCTCTCTCTTTTTAAGTTTTGACAGCTCAGCTCCCAGAGCTGGCAGGCTGGCCAGCAACACCCAAAGCAGTGAGATTTCTCCTTGATCACTCCTGCATCTGCGCTAAACCATCCTACTCTGCTCTCTGACCTTCTCTGGGAAACAGTGTGACCCAGCACCATAGAGCTACCCTTTCTGCTGCCTCTGCTGAGCATTACCACTGCCATCCTTGCTCCTCTTCCCCTGTACAGTTCTGGGATATATTTCTGCAGCACAGTGGTCTATCATGCTGCAGGGTTAGGGTGGAACTGTCTGGTCTATCAGGTAATTGATTGTGTACACAGCAATAATTTCACATGCCAATGCAATTGTTCCACTCACAGCATTTGATTCCAAGGACCTTTGTACTTTATGGAATGTACCCTTGTTTCCTCCCTTTTAGATCTTGATGACAGACTGTGAGCTTCCCAGAGGTGCTCCATTCTCAGATATATCAGCTGTCCCCTCCAATGAGCTTTTCACCCCTCAGGAGACACAAAGGGAAAGAGACACACTGCTGATCTGCTTACACAGCTCACCCAGCAGTCACTGCCACCCAGAGGGCTTCACTGCCTTCCAGCAGCACTCCACACACGTCCCTGAGGAACTCGGTGGTGACAGGCTCTGTGCAGCTCCCCACGCTGCAGGAGTGCTCCCCTGAACAGGAGGAGTAGGTCAAGTTTAAAAGTGCAGGGCATGGAATGGACTGAAAAGTAACTCCTGCTGCCCAAGTCTCCATCTCTCCATCCTCCCCTCACACTGGGTCGGTCACTTCTGGCTGACGTGTCATGTGAGAAGGGACACCTACAGCTAAGGCACACAGAGGGGTCTACACCTGGGGTTAACATAGCCCTGGGTGTTGTGTGACCTGCATAACACAGATGATCCCATGACTACTTTATCTCTTCCACAGACTGTACAATAGTGAAGGCCTTGCCTCTCACAGAGATAGCAGGATAGTATAATACCACCATGGACGGGCTTAATCCTGCTTCATTTCCTCTGCAAGCATTCTGTCTTTCCTCTTGCCAGCCAAGTTGGAGACAGTGCTCAGACTCCATCTATCCCTGCAGCCAACCCACCCTGCCAGCTGCTCAGCATGAAGATCAGGTCATCCCCAGGGAGAGTCTCAAGGTTCAAAAGGAGCACCTTGCTCATAATCATGTTTTGAAAATACACATTTAATGGAGGAAATCATGCAGTTTGAGGAGAGGCTGTTTGGTGATGACATCTTTTAGCTGTTCTTTATAGCTTATTTATTGAATTGTTGCTGGCTTCACAGTGGTTTTGGTGATTATATTTTTAACTAACTTCCTAGAAGGTCACGGAGACACCATGTGTGTTTTTATAAATGAAACTGAACTAAGTTGTATTTAACATCCAAACAGATCTGCTGAGAGTTAGGTTTATAGCTGGAGAGGCCTTCACCAGTCAGAACAGGATTTGGGCATTCCTGGCATCATGCAAGAGCTCTGATGATCCCTGTACTGGGGCACATGGCTCCCACGGAGGTTTCTGAGGAGGGCTGAAATTCCTGGTACAGATATGAATCGCTGTGCATTTGAAAGTACTTCTCTATTAACACTGTTTAATATTAGCCTTACATTTTCTGCTTTGGCAGAAAATGCCGAAGCGTTGCCAAAGCATTTTGTTCTTGATCACAAACTCATTTGTTCTCTGGAAGATTGTCAACAAAGAAACAAAAGACAATTTGAACAACAAGTATCTGGGGGGGTAAAAACCCACATGAGATAAAAGCATGGTAATTAAAAAAGAA